CATGCCCAATGGATTTGTTCAAAACAACTAACTAGCATTTTAACTATTTACACACTCCTACCTCGATTCTGCTGTCTGGTGGCTGAAACTTACCATGATCCATGTAAAACAACAATATACAAACAATTAGAACTCTGTACACAGCAGAGTACACAACTCTGCTGCCTGTGACATACAGTTTAGTCTTAATTATTCATTAAATGTGATTCAAAAAATATCATGCAAGCATTTTTTCAGTACCATTATAAAACATTTGTGTTACAATCAATAAATATTAAATTGTACATTCAATGCAGAAAAAAATTAAACAGAAAAGAATAGGGAATAAAATCAAAACGTGCTATTATTTTTTTTTTTTTTACCCCTTAGTAATATTGTTAATGGAATCATATAAGAAGTGCTTTGTTTGGCTACAAATCTGGAGGGGAAAAAAAAAAAAAAGAAAAAGAAAAAGAAAAAGAAAAAGCCTTTGATTAGCAGCTCATTCTTCACAAATGATAAAGATTTCAATTAAAACAAAATTATGCTCCAGTTAGGTTTTCTTGGAAACACAAATATAATTTAAAACATTGACATTTTAATGCTGAAATAGTGCAGGATATTTCCTATGTTCCACAGATACTTACTTTGTATCTCATGACAAGGAAAATACTAAATGATGGCAACAGCTAGTGAGTTGTTTCCAAAGACTAATTCCTTTCTTGAGTAATTTACTATTTCTCAATATACAGTTCCCTGGCAGTACAGTACAATTCCCTGGCATCTTAGAGGGAAGAATGTGGCACTTTATATTAGGCAGCATTAATATCTTAAACAACCCCTGATTCCAGCTCACATTTCAGACTGACACGGTGAAAGGAATTTAGAGTTTACCCTTGTCGTTTTTTTTTTGGGCGGGGGTTGCTCTTTTTATGGTCTGGTCCTTAAAACAATCAGCTTGATGTTTCTTATGAATTCCCATGTATTACCCACTGTCTCTATGTTAAATCAAGATAAGGTTTGCTTAAAACATACACAAAACAATGCAGTTCTCCACTGCTGCACACTTTTTATGCAGTCTTGGGCTAGACTCACAAAGAAATCATAGGATCACAGAATCCTAGAATGGTTTGGGTTAGAAGGGACTTCAAGGATCATCAGTTTCCAACTGCCCCCTGCCACATGCAAGGTTGCCAACCACTACATCAAGTACTAATTCAGATTGACCAGGGCCACCTCCAGACTGGCCATGAACACCTCCATAGATAGGGCATCCGCAGTCTCTCTGGGCAGCCTGTGTAAGCAACACCCTCTCTGTAAAAAAAAAATTCCCCATGACATCTAATACCTTCTTTCGTTTAAAACCATTCTCCCTCCCATTCTCCCACTATCTACCCATGCAAAAAGTTGATTTCCTTCCTGTTTATGATCTCCCATTCAAATACTGGAAAGCCATAATAAGGTCTCCCTACAGCCTTCTTGAACAAGCCCAGCTCCCTCAGCCTGTCTCATAGGAGAGGTATTCCAGCCCTCTGATTATCTTCATGGCCTTCCACTGGAGCCTCTCCAAAAGCTCCGCATCTTTTCTTGTGTTGGGGGCCCCAAACCTGGATGCAATTCACCAGATGGTGCCTCACAAATGCAGAATAGAGAGGTACTCTCACCACCTGCATCAACTCAGGCTGTATTTCATGTACATGTAAACCAAGTTTCCTGTGAAGAAAAGCATTTGTCATTCTGATTCTCTGACTGATATTTCAGTTGCTGGTACTTTGTTGAAATGTCATAGGAAAATAGACTGGAGGCCTATCCAGCTTGCCACAGAAAATCATCAAGTGGTTTGCTGAGATAAAATAAGTGGCCATATTTTACTAAGTAAATTGAAGTGGTGTTAAATACCTGAAGTGACCCTAAAGTTTAATCAGGCTTCAGTCTTAGCACACAGAGAAGGTGTGTGCCAGCCTTATAGCTGTTCAGTGCCTCCATGCTCTCTGTGAGGGATTAAAGCAGGGAGCCACGCTCAAGTACTGCTTCTCTGTTATCTCTGTCTTTGCGTTGTTTTGATTTATAGCAGCGGCAGTTCCTCCTGACTCTCTCTTTCCTTATTTTTGCTATGCTAGGAAAGTCAGAGGACTATAAGAATGTATGCCCAGGCACAGTCAGGATCAGAAGCTTAGTTATCCCATATCATGGTTGAATGGTCTGTTACAATGGCTGCTGTGTAAAAGAGCTTCTTCCATTTCTGAGTCTTTCCAATAGAAAAGAGTGATCTTTTTTCAGCACTGGAAACAATTGAGGCATTAAGTAAAGAGAACAGCTTAGGTACTGTACACAAGCAAAAGCGTCTAGCTTGTGAATGCCAAGCAGAAGTGGCCATCTCAAGAGTGAGAGCCCTTTACTAACCATTTCTGGTAACTTCCTTTTTCATTTACTGGCACACGAGCATTATTTTTTCTCTAGAAATTAATTTGTCTCTCAGACACTGTAGACAGAGACCTGAAGCATCTAAAACAAGCTTGAAGATTTCACTCCAGAAGCCCAAATCCAAACGTTTGGTATTGAAAAGCTAAGCATAATTACCCTTCCTCTCTGTGTGTCTTGTTCTTTGGCTCATGTTCTTTTTACTCAGTTTACACACTTTTTTAATAGCTACCAAACTTGTTTTCATGTTTGTTCCATGCTTCAACTTGTTGGAGTTACAGATGGTCTTTCATATTTGCTTCAAAGATCACGCACATTTTTATAATTGCCTACAGATTTTGACTTTATAGCTCTAGCACTAGAGATTTTCATTTTCAGCTGTGAAAAATGCATTGCTTACTCTCCTAAGATCAACAAAAATGACTGCTAGTGAAACAGCAAGACCTTTTCTTTGACTCCAGTATAGCAGGATATATATTACCAATCTTATCATATACTACAGTATAGCTGTGAACTGGGAGACAGATCGAATTATGTGTACAAATATGGAACAGAAAGGTAGTCCTTACCTTGATGCAACTGCTGTATTATCACCACATAAACACAGCACGCAGATTAATATAGTAAGAGAGCAGAAGATCTACCCTGTCAGTGTGCTCTGACTTAACACTGTTGCCCAGTCCTAAGCATAGATAAAAACATAGGTGGCTGAGAATCAGTCTAGGAAAAACCACAGATTGAGGAAACAGACAGGCTTTCTGCAAATGTGGCTACTTAGTAAGGAGTGCTACTGTCTCATTGTGCATATGGCAACTCCTGTGATGACAGCTAGAGAAGTCAGCACTCTCAGAAGTTTGGTGGTGGGAAGAAAGTACTCATATCTATTAGCACATTACAGAACTGATGCTGTCTAATAAAAACCCTGTGAAAGGTGAGCTTAAAATCCCTTGCAGAGTGACAGGTGAAAGCACACAGGAAGACACTAAGACAGTAGCAGAAATATTCTATCTAGGTGCTGGTGTTCTTATTTGGAGGGAACAGATCTTACCATAACTCACTACATGGAAAAAATCACTCAGCAATTAGTAGCTAACTTGCCAGTACATCAAACATATGAGATTCCAAACCAGATGTCTAAAGATGGCAAGCATACCACCATGTTGGCAATCACACTGTATTCCAGAGGAATCTTAATGGCCTTAACAAGCATGAGCTCTCTGTTTACATCCAGCATGTTAACCATTACAATGACTTGAAATGTCTGGCTCTGGGAGTTAAAGTGCAATAGGATGTATACCTTGGACTCTTTCTGAAGAGGTAGGATCCTCAGCTTGTTGTGAATTATATCACTGAAGCTGCTGAAACTGCTTTGGAACTGAAAGGATTTCATATCACAAAATGGGCCATTTAGAGCACTTGCATCATGTTACTTTTGAAGTGAGATGGAAAACAAAAATGAAATCAACCCTACTTCAACTCATACATGCTTTTGTAAAAGTTGGCAGGAAATAACACCTTTAACCCTGAGATTGGCATTGATATCATTCGTATGGAGTAGAATAAAGTAGCAAAAAAAAAAAAAAAAAAAAAAAAAAGTGAGAAAGGATCATTTCCCAGAGGAAATTCTAAAAAGCAAACAACTGTTTTTCTAAAACAAATGAAAAAACAATAACAAGTAAATAATCAACCAACCCAAACACAGACATTCTGAAGAGTTCTATTAACTGGGGGAAAAGAGCAGGGCAATCTGCAGTAACTGGAGGTAAGTCACATTAATGTTGAAAGGAAAAAAACAACTCTAGAAATGCACAGAATGAAAATTAAAAAAAAAAAAAAAAAAGAGAGAATAGATTTTTAAAGTCTTTTTGTTGTGCATTTTATATTAATTGTCATTATGTAAGAGTACATATTACAGCATCACCTGTTTCAGAAGTTTAAAAAAGAAAAAACAACCACTTCTGTTGTGCTTCATGTGCATGCAACAAGGCCAGCACCAGAGCAGCCACTTTAAACATGAAGCTAGATGCTCAGCTATTAACTCATTGGTTACTTGCTCACGTCAAACAAGATCAGAGCTCTGCTTTGTAGTTGACTCTGGTGAATAACACATATTTCCTATTCCTGGAACTTAGCTTAAATAGAAAAGACAGAATAGCAGAAAAGGTTATAGTATCTGTATACGCCAAAGGAGGAGCTGATACAAGTGCAAGAGGAACACAGTAAGAGTTACTAAATCCTGGAAATAGACATGAAAGATGTTCCTTTTCGTTGTGTTTGTTACACAGAACAGCAGGGAATCGGCACTGCCACCTCCCCCTAGCTGTTCAGGGTCACACGCATTTCTTCCCACGTTCCAGAACATTCCCCGCTGCGGGGCTTCACAGGGACATTTATGGCAGCGGGTTGGGGCAGCGCGAACAGCCCAATTCGGGCAGTGCGAAGAGGAGGTGAGCAGCTGCTCCCCACCCTACAGCGGGCTCTCAGGCCGCCAGCAGTGAACTCACTGGGGCGGAGCAAGACGGGCGAGTGCAGCGGCGTTCCCTTTTTAGGGCTTCTTTTTTTTTTTTTTTTTTTTTTTTTTTTTTTTTTGCCGGCTCAGCTCCTCCTACCCGGCAGCGATCCCTGGGGCAGAGGTGGAGCCGGCTGAGGCCGGCAGCGGCCGGGTTGGGTTGTAGGGGGTCGCGATGTCCCTTGCGGAGCGACAGCGGATGGAGGAAGAGGAGGGGGAAGGGGCCGGCGGCGGGGAGGAAGTGGTACAGATCCGGCTGGGGGACAAGTGCTACCCGGTGTGCAAGAGGAAGCTGATCGAACAGAGCGACTATTTCCGAGCCCTGTACCGTTCGGGCATGCGGGAGGCAGGGCAGGGCCAGGAAGAGCAGCTGTTGCGCGGAGGGCTGAGCGCGCTGGGACTAGAGCTGGTGCTGGACTTCATCAACACCTCCTGCCTGGCCTGGCTGGAGCAGGAGGGTGAGGAGGAGCCCCCTCTGCTAGAGGAGCTGGTGGAGGCCGCCTCCTACCTGCAGGTCACTCCCCTGCTGCGCTTGCTGCTCTCCCAGGTGCGACTGGGCAACTGTCTGGAGCTACACCACTTGGCCCAGGTCTATGGCCTGCAGGACCTGCACGACGCCTGTTTGGACTTTATGGCTTCCCATTACCACCAGGTGCTGCGCAGGCCCGATACCCAGCTGCACCTCCATCTGCCACACGCTCTCCAACAGCACCTGAAGGAGAGGCGGATGAGGGGCACTGCCACCCTGGTGGCCATTGGGGACTTCATGGGTACCTCATCCCTGGGCCTGTCCCCGGGCTGTCACCCGCAGGCTGAGGCCCCATGGTCCATGCTGAGGTATGACGAGGAAGCAGAGCAGTGGCTACCCCTGGCCAACAACCTACCACCAGATCTGGTGAACGTGCGAGGCTACGGGTCGGCCATGCTGGACAACTATCTCTTCATCATTGGGGGGTACCGGATCACCACCAGTCAGGAGATCTCAGCTGCCCATTGTTACAACCCTTGCCTAAATGAGTGGAGTCAGCTGGCTTCAATGAACCAGAAGAGGTAACCTCTGCACCCTGGTGTGCACATGCGTCCTTGTCTGTATTCAAAACAGAGACTGCTGAGTCACCTGGAGTTGGACAGACGCAACCTTACAAGTAGTGATTCAGAGCTGTCTCTTGCACCATGTGATGGGAAGCACTTAAGGGTTTGGCAGTAGCCTGGTAGCCTAAAGGCTTTGGCTTTGCTGGCAGCAGCCCCCCAGCTGTGGCACAGCCTGGCATCCTCTCTACTTTTTGGTGACTCCAGAGTGTGGCAGAGGGAGCTGCTATAGGAAGGGTGAGGAGAATGGGACTCTGAGCAAATGCAGGTGATTAAGGCCACAGCTGTGGGAAAATGGGAATTAGGCATCAGCTGAGGACTGAGCTGTGGCCATCTGCCATAGGTGGTCATTTTCACCTGGGTGTAAAGTGATGGTGGATTACCATTTTTCCTTTAAATCATAGTTCTAGGAGCTCTGGTCTCTCCAAGCAGCCATCAGTACTGGTAGTTGAAATTCTATTTAAAATAACAAAACAACAAAAAAGAAAATTCTGTGTTTTTTTGTAAATCTTAGCTTCAGTACTCCATGTGGTAAGAAGTTTTACTACTCATAATAGAAGTGTTCAGTCTATCAGAGCTAGGGATTGCTGGAAATATTTGTTGTTGGTTTGTACTTTTACAAAAATCCCAATGTTCTGCAGGTCTGCATTGTGGTGAAGTCTTTACCAGAAAAAATGGCAGGAAGATTGTCAGAAATTTCTCAATTTGTGAGAATATTTGGACCTAGTAAACATTCAGCATCTTGATTTATTTATTTATTTATTTATTTATTTTTCTTCCAACATTTCTGATGAAGTTGCTATTCAGAAACATTTATATGTTTAGGGAGCTAGTGTTGATGGAAACCCAAGAAGAGTCCTCCCCAGGACGGGCTGTGGCTGCTCTGCCTTAGTCATGTTGAAGAGTTATCAAAATACAGACTTTTACTTTATTGAAACAAAATATCAAAGATGAATTTTCTAGTTATTTCCATTTTAGAAAAAAAGTGTTTAATTTTTTTTTCTTCTCTATTGGAATCAGAGTGGAAATAAGTAGGGAGTCCAGAACTTGCTTTAGAATGAAAATTCTCTTTTCCATTCAGCAAATTCAAGTAGCAGCCAGAGACCCCAGCCCTTAGCATGAATGCTTTGAATTAGTGTAGTAAATCTGTAATCTCTCCTCCAGGTGAGCTTGAATGCTAAAATGCCTCAAAACGGAAGTTTGACCTAAAATGACTGGTTTCCTACTTCAACCTTCTTTCACTGCCTGTGTTTATCATTGTGAGAAATTCACTAAAATGTTTGCCTACCTGGCCAGTTGTTGGAATTGATTGGAATCATAGGGTGTATGTCGTTTGTTCCAACAAACACTGTACAAAGTAACTGCTATGAAGTATTTAGCTTTTAAACTCTGTGAACACCTCTTTCTGCGTGTATATTTCTTGCAGTCTGTTGGTAATCTCTGGAGGCACCTTTGGGGACTGAGCTGTTTTGGTAGAGCTGGTCTATGCAGTATTGCCTGCCAAAATTGCCGAAAGCATGTTAGACTCAGTAGAAAAGAATGACAGATCAAACCAATCAGTGTCTCTTGTAGAAGCCCTGTTTTGATCAAATTATGAAGTTTGGTATTGGTTTGCATGGTGTCCATAGCAAAGTAGGTGTTATTATGTGAAACAACTCTGCAGCATGGCAAACGAGACGGGTTTTAAAAATGCCCTTTTTTTCACCTTATTACCTGATTGTTCAAATTCTAGATGAGCCTTTTACTTCCACGCTTTCCCATTTTTTTTCTAGGATATATAGTGATTATATGAAAAAAATAAATGATTGTTTTCTTCTTTTATTAATATTTTCATCTGTACTACCTTGCCAACAATCTTTAAGCCCACAACACCTGACAGGTGTTAATCAGCATGGGATTTCATGTTGGCAATTTATGTTGGAAAAGGAGCATGCAAATAGATATTTTTGAAATAGTCACCAGTCTTACATTTCAGTGTAGCGACTGCAGGCTAAAAGGGACAAACATCATGTTGCCTTCTAGGCTGGATAGCAGCTAATGAGTATGTAGCTTTGTGAATAATGAGTAGGGGGAATCTTTTTCATGGAAACTCTACTAATCTCATCATAAAACTTGTTGTTGACTTTAACATCTTTGTGGAGTCTCAACCCTGAAGTTTTTTTTTTCTTTTTTAAACTTTTCTAACCTAACATTTCAACTCTCTGATACCAGATTGACCAGCTGGAGCAGCTTGTGGCCAGAATCCAAAAAAGGATGGCTTGTGCTGTGGGAGCTAAGAGCAGGGGAAGGGAATTTTTGTACTCAATGTTTACATTCAACAGGAGCAGCACTGATTCCAGTCTGCTGATTAGATGTTTGCTTGGCATTGCAGTTTTAGTTTGTTGTGCTGCAATAAAACAAGCAGGGCAGTTGCCTAGTATGCTGCTCAGGTAATTGGCTTGTTTGGCTGTCTACCAAGCTAGTTGATGTCAGCTGATACAATTATATACTGTGGGTGTGTCTTTTACATACCTTGAGAGAAAGTTCTCCTTCTGATTGAAGTGGGTTTGACTTCAGACAGCATTTTAGCAGTATTTAGATTTGGCCTTTATGACTGGAGGCATGTGTTGGCTTTAAGAGAAGGATGAAGAGTTATGGATGTAACTGTGTTTATTTCATTTGAATATAGTAAGTATTTCACCCTCAAAAAACTTGTGAATCCTACAATGTCTTTAATTATTTGTTTTATTATAATGTAGAAACTGAGGATGTTGGGATCTATTATGCGTGTATAGATGAAATATTCCCAACTTACCTCTAAATAGAAGAAAACTGTCAGATGTATGCTGAATACTCTAGTTTATGTTGTAGCTTTTACTACTTTGTAAGCATAGAGATCTTACAACAATCATTTTAAATTTGTTCATGGTAGGTAGCTCCCATATATTATTCCTGCGATGCCCACATAAATTTGAGAAAATATTATTTCCTGTTTATACTTACATAAATCAGATAAAATAATTTGCCCAGATTCATAGGGAGCTGGTGTCTGAGCCAGGAATTTCTCATTATCTGAGGCTAAATCTGATACCAGCCATAAATAATCCCTAACAGATCATAGTTTCTAGATCTCTAATTTTTTTTTCATTCTAGAGGTGTTGCTGTGCTTGGAATAGTGTCTTCAGAGAACTACATGGACTTCTTTGAGGAAGAAACTTCATGTAAAGGTTGCCCAAGACTACTTGGGGTCTTTGGGGATAGGAAGGTAATAAGGAAATTTGAGGTTCAAGTCATGTATTTCAGTACCTTTCCATACTTTTTTTTTTCCTTTTCTTTTTTCTTTCTTTTTTTTTTTTTTTTTTTTTGATGCTGGCAGTTTAAATTGACCATATAAAAATAATATAGGATTTCTACTGCATGTTCCAGTCACAGCTGTGTATTTCATGTTTATTTTCTTTCAGCACACTCATGGCAGATAAATCTTCTAGTTTTGGAAGACCCTTACAAGCCCCTGGCTGCGATTATATACATGCACTTTGAATACAGTTTTTGTGAGCCATCTTTGCCTGAACTGCTGCCACTTTGGAGGCTCTTACAGGAATGCAAGAGAGAATGTTCTAGGGATTGGTAATGGATTAGGAGACTTCCTCTTTCTTTGTTTGTTTTTTTTTTTTAATCATTTTTCCCCTTTAAAATTGCACTTTGCTGGGGTGAAAATAGATTTTTCAAAAATTTTCAGGTAAAAAATATACATGTCACATCTATCACAAATATATCATCTGTGCTTCCAAAGCTCAAGTATGGAAGCAGTGTGTTCTGCGGTCGTATAAGGAGTGTAAAAAGAATAGTTCATGCAATAAATGTAGAGTGCTTTGAGAGTAACTTGTTTCCTTGCTTAACTACCTCCCTGATCAGAAAATTATCTGTAACATCTGTGCTAACTTCTTATATACTAAATGAATAAGGTCTGTCAGTGAACTAAGGGGACTTGCTCTCTTCTTCATAGTCAGTGGTCTCTTACAGACATGTTATATGGTTGTTAATACAATCCTGAACAGCCTCCACTTTTCACAAAATGTTTGGAAAGTTATGCATTCTGACTGTTTGGTCCTTGCACATTAGATTCTTTTTCCTTCCTGCATGAAGCACTCTACACTGCTTTCAATGAATGGAAAAGGTTGTAATTTGAACTGCTGTAAAACCCACTCTTATGTTCCTGGGGCTACTTTCAAGAGGAAATGAACATCTTCAGAAGACTTAGCTGTATCCCAACAAGAAGGGATAATCACTAGAGAGTATTTCACATTTCCAAGTTTAGGTAACTCATGTAAGTGGGTGGAGTTACCACAGCTGAATCTGATAAACTTTTAAGCTTGGTTGTTTCCGAGCTGTAGTCTATGAAACACTTGTTATGGAGAGCTGGCCAATGTTTGTTGTTGTTGTTTCTCCACCACATTAAAAGTATAAAAATACACTAAATATTTCTTAATATTCTCTCTCCATAAAAACACCTGCTGTTACTGGCATGGAAAGGTGAATGGGAGAAGTTTTTCATTATGTATTGGGCCGTTGTCCGAACATGCGTGTAAAGCATGCTAATGGGTACTTGTTGCAGCTTTTGAGTAACATATCCCATAAATCTGAGGTACTTGCACTGATTGTCATCCTTTTTAATGAATGTTGGAAGTGGTTAAATCACTCAACCAGCAGTTAAAATTATTGGCTTACTAGAGAAGCGAGTGTCAATTAGGAAACCTGAATTCTTTTGTATTTGGACACTTGTTTTTCATGTCTTATCTTCTAGAAGCTATAGCATGTAGGAATGCTACTCTGAAAGTAATATCTCTCATTTTGTTATGTTAGTCCACAACATCAGAGGTGGATGTTGGTGGTATGTCAGTACAGGTTGAACCTTCATGTTGATAGATAGGCCATTAAATTTTGTTGCCTTGTGACAGATGGCAGCAGGGAAGCAGTCTGACAAAATGGCATCTGACATGGAAGTGCCTATGAAACAGAGGTGTGGAACTGAATTCCTCCGTGCAGGAAAAAATGGCACCTAGTTGACATCCATTGATAGTTGCTGAACATATGGGAACCAAACAATGGATGTTAGCACAGTGAGGTGGTGAGTGGTGTGTTTCAGCAGTGGTGACAGCAACAGCATGTCACTTCTGTTGATGGGGATAAAAATCCATACATGTGCAGCATGCATGTTCCTGTTCATTGCTGGTGAGAGTGTGTAGTTAATGGTGGTGACCATGTTGAAAAACAGTGTTCAGTAGCTGAGAGTTTGCTCTATCAACTAGTGTTATTGTGGTCTTTGCATCTATTGCAGTTCCAAAGAAATAAACAGGAGGCATTACTTTTGGAGCAACTAGCATATTAAGTGTGACTAGAAAATTTTACAATAATGAAGCACTGTCTCTGTATGTATGAATTCATTTTGTTAGCCAAAAACCCTGTACCATCTCCATCATAGACAAAAAGTTGCAGACTTTCTAATGTTGATTTTAAAGGATGTTTGGAAAATGAAGTTTTACTATGGTTTGGGTTGTTCTTGTTGTTGTTGGTTTGTTTGTTCTTTCTTGTCTCTGCTAATTTATGGACTTTTTTTCTCCACCATAAGTCTTACAAGAGATAGATTACTTTAAAAATAATTATGTTTTTGAAGTGATTATCCTCATTTCATGCTCACTATTGATCACCATATTTTTCTGAATTCTTTAATATGGAAAACAATTGTTGTACAGAGGAAATGAACAGTGTGACCTAATCGTAAATATCAGTTTTTTTAAAAAAAAAAAAAAGAATAAAAAGCAATTAATTCCTTCAAAGAAACATTTTAGTTTTCAAAGCTTTATCAGGGTGACAGGAGCAGAATGTTTCCATCTGGAAACAATTGTTTTTTTTCCTGAATACATTTAATGAAAAGAAGTTGCAGAGCAGTCTGCAGCTAGAGGTCTGTTTTGTCCAGATAAAACCCTGCAAAACTGCTTGGTGGTAAGTTTTTAATCTTGGATTCATGGGGAATGAAATTTACTTTACAGCTCAGCAGGCCAGTGCAGTGCTAAAACACCACAGGTTTACAGATGTAATGCAGTTCCCCATTTGTTTTTGTGTTAATCTGTTGCACACCAATGACTTTCACACACTTAGTTAATCAGGATACTGTGTGGTAAAATCTCATGGATTTGGCTTGAAACGGGCAGTACTGAATAATCTTGCTTAGATGATGGCATAGACTTGTAAGTAGGACTGTTCCTGAAGGGAGAGAGGCTTCATTAGACCATCTTCCACAGCCACAAGGAACAGATTGAACCTCCACTTCAGATCCTCCTTTATTCTGCTATCCACAGACTAGTTATTTCTGTATTGTCTTAAAACTGTGAGATGTAAGGCTTCTTGCACTTCAGTAACTGGGTAGTTAGCCTTAGTTAGGTATAAAATATAACAACATAATTGAGTAGAATAAGAAATAAAAACAGATCATTGTCTATGGAGTGCAGTGTATTTTGTTCAGCTATGTATGGAACACTAATTTACAGATACATCTTGCTTCATTGGGATGGAGGATGTCTTTAGCAGTCTAAATCAATGCTAAATGAGGTACAGGAGTTTCTCTTTTTTTGTCTATTGCAGAATGTAATTCATATATTTCTATTTATTAAAGTTATTAAAGAGACTGTATACGCATTCCTACTTGATGGTCTTGTTTGAAATTTCCGTAATTTTAACTGAAATAATCTTCTTGACTGTGGGTATACATAATATATTTGTCTGTACTAAAGGTACTTCAGTAAAATGTACTTTGGTATTAAAACTGAGTCATCTACTGAATAGATTAACAGTTAACAAAACATTTACAGCTCAAACTGCCATAGATTGAAATCCAAAGTAAAATATTAATTAGTCTCAGTATCAACATCATTGATATCAAAATGTCACTGTTTGCTGTCCTGAATAATTAAAGTGTAATTACAGAATTTTGGACATGCACTGCACACTTCAGATTCTGTAATGTATGAATTGACATGATGTGATGATAAATGTGTTGGAGCCTGATTGGAAAAAAGTTTTTCTTACGTTTTTCTGTCCATTTGTTTAACCTATATCAGTGCTGCAATCTGTGTCTTTCAGGTCAAATTTTAAGCTGTTGGCTGTAAATGGAAAGCTCTATGCCATTGGTGGTCAATCCCTTTCCAACGTGGAGTGCTATAACCCAGAAAATGACTGGTGGAATTTTGTGGCATCCATGCCAAATCCTCTTGCAGAATTCTCAGCTTGCGAGTGCAAGGGCAAGATTTACGTTATTGGAGGATACACTACAAGAGGTAGAAAGCTTTTTTTTTATTTTATTTTCAACTGGTGTAATGAAACAAACCCATGAAATGGAATAAAAAAATTATTGCTGTCATACTGGCATCAGGTTGTGGGTTTTTTCAGAAGCTATACCTAGGAGCTGTAATTTTGCATGCCAAACGTAAGTACTTGAAAACTGGATAGCTGTCTGTAATGTCCCATATGACTAACTGGTATTTGAACCTGCAGCTCTGCTCTTCCAATAAAATAGACCAATTGGTACTTTAGAATTTAGGTTAGTCCTCCTCCTGTTAGATTTTGGTCATATAGTAGAAAGAAAGGTCTCAACAGATAGACCTTTGTGGAAAAACATTAAAAAGTCTATATTGTGTTTTTCATGTTTGTTATAGTTCATATAGCATTTCAAAGTTGTTGGGTGTTTTGTTTTTTTTCTTCCTGTGCATGTAAAAAAACTTGGGCTTTGTACTGAGTAAATGAGGGCTACATCACAATAGACTTCTATTTCATGTGCCTTGTCTCAAATAGTAGAATCCTATTTTTTTCCTCAGAAGTTTACTGCTATGGAAAGGCATGGAAACTTAATGTTTCCAGGAATGTTGGGATTTTTTTTGCCCCCCTAGTGAGTCAGGGAATTATTCATTGTTTATAGGCAAAGATCATGGAGTTTTGATCAGCATTTTTATACAGCACTGCTAATGTTTCCTATTTTTTTCTTTATTTAATGTGGATTAAGTGTACAGGAAGATGAGTAATAAGCAATGACCAAAAGTCATTACAGTGCAAGAAAATGCTGTGGCAGCACCTCCAAAGCCATGCTGCTTGTGAACTTCATTTACGACAATCCAGTTATATTTATGGCTATCTATACCTGTGTTCTTACATAACTTGTTAGCGTGTCACCATCTGCTGTTCCACTTGGGAGTTCGTCTGGAGATCATTGTGCAGAATAGACTTGTAATACAGAGCAGATTTTATTGAAAAGCCAAATCGGAGTCTGCAAGCCTGTTACCACTTGTCACTTGGGTTTGTATTTAAGTTCCGGTCTCCAGAGGTTGAAACTGAATTTACTAGCTAAAAGCTCAAGTGCGTTCTTTAATTTAGTGAAGCCTTCAATGGGGATGCTGTCTTGGTCTCCTGAGCAGTAAATTAGGGAGGTAGTGTAACAATTTCACAGAATAACAGTGTTGCAAACACATCCATGAGTTGTAGCTGAAGCAGAGATAGGGCTTTAGCTTTTCTCTCTTCCTCTATTTGGTACTGTTGCATGAATTTCATGGTCTTTAAATGAGTTTGACTTTGTGTATTTCTCTCTTTACAAGGTACTGTAAATGAGCCCTTAGTTTATCCATGCCACTTGATGAAATGTAGCTGGCTTTATGAATGTTATTCCCTAAGACTTTGATTTGTGGATTGAAATGCTAAGTTAAGCTTGGATGATAAATCATCACTTGATAGCTATTAATGAAGCATACAATTATCATGATAATTTGATTTATATGAGATCACCAAGCTGAGTATTATTCAATTTACCTTTTCATTAAAAATACCTTGCATATCAATCAGAGGCAAAATCACAATTATTAGGTAATAGCTAGGAATTATGCTGCTAAAATCTAAATTCCCAGATCATTTGTATCAATTAATAGAGCAGCAGCTGAATTTTTTCCTGCTATGATAGAATAAAATGTTCTAGCTTTATCACTGGGGGCAAAAACTTACAGTTCTCAATCTGTTTCTTCCCTGTCACCTACCCTTTTGCACTGTCCATAATAATGGCTAATACAGTTCATAAACAGAAATAATACTCCTCCATAAGTGCCATTTATTTATTTGTAAATCTCTCTCCTCTGTTTCAGACAGGAATATGAACATCTTGCAATACTGTCCTACTTCTGATTCTTGGACCAACTTTGAACTCTGTGATGTCCATGTTCGTAAACAACAGATGGTCTCTGTTGAAGAAACAATCTATCTAGTAGGAGGTTGTATTCATGAACTTGGACCAAACCAAAAATCCAGCCAAAGTGAAGATGTGTTAACTGTGCAGTCTTACAACACTGCTACCAAAGAATGGCTCTACCTCAAAGAAAACACATCAAAGTCGGGTCTTAACTTGACTTGCACTCTACACAACGATGGGGTTTATATATTGAGTAGGGATATTACTTTATCTACGAGCTTGGAGCACCGTGTTTTTCTGAAGTACAATATATTTACAGACAGTTGGGAGTCACTAAGACGCTTTCCAGCCTTTGGACAAAACATGCTGATCTGTTCTATGTATTTGCCTGATGTATGAGATGTGTGATGGCATCAGGTTTTTCTTTGCAGCTCATTAATCATTCTCAGAAGAAATATTACTCCCTCTAAGCAATCCAGTTTCAGAATGTAACATAGGCATGAAATACTGATTCTTTTCTTTAAAAAAAATGTTTCAAAATCCATTATTAAGAGCAGTGGTTCTAGAAACAGTTCTAAGGTTTCAGTTTAATTTTCTTTTATTTTGTATTTATATTTCACCAAGTATTGTTTACAACTTAAACATAAATTTTTTATTTTGGTAACTAATGAAGGATATAGTTCCAAAGGCAAAACTGATTATTCTCATTTTATTCTCCGTCATTATAGACAATGCGGAAGAGAGAGTATACATGGTGAAAGTGAATATAATTCAATAAAATGAATACTATGTAAAATACTATATAAAAGAGAAATCAAAAAGGGAATTTTTTTAAAGTACAATTTTTACACAAACTGTTTTCTATTGAATGCATAATGTTTAAAATTGCTTACACTCTCATGCTATTCTCCCTTCTGCAGTCACAAGTGAGAATTTCAAGGGTTCCAGCAAGTAGGTATCACCAAGAAACATCCCCTGAATTTTTTGTCATAAAATGCTTTGCAAGGGACTGGGAAGAATTATCTGGAGACTGAAAGTTTCTGTCTGGATTTTAGATGCTGCTTTAATGGCAGTTAGCAGAATTTATGGTTGCCGTTATGACAGAGGTAAAAAGTCTGCAAATTCAAATGAAGAAGTTCGCTTATCTTCCAGAAAATTTTTAGTTTTAGTTATCCTGTTTTCTGCAGTGCTGAATATTAAAAATCAAATTATAGAAACAAAGAAACAGATGTTAGCAGCAAGCTGCATTGTAGGAAGATACAGATGAGTACACACTGTGGTGAATCTGCACCAGGCACTTACTGCTTGATAACAGTCACCTAGGGCAAAAGAGGAGACTGAATCAATTGATGTGGAAGGGTTCATTTTTGTAAACAACTTCCTTATGACACCAGCTCTAACAGGTGTATGTGGATATTGACTTTCTTGTTTTACCAGTGGCCTGGTAGATATAACCAGTTTGCTACCTAAAGTTGTTAGCTTCTCCAAAGAACATAAGGGGATAGTCACCATAGATTCTCACTTGTGTTTCCTAGTTTCTGCATATTGCTTGAGACTCTTTTCATTTTGGAGCTGACAGGTTCCTTCCTCCTGAAGGTCTTGGTTGTTATCATGGGAAGATTTCACACAACTGCAGCCTTTGGGAAAGAGAGAACTAGATTAGGTGTATATTGAACAGATTTCACTGATGTCACTGATGTTGATTTTGTGCGAGATTTTATTCACTTGAATGTGTTCCTATTAAGGAGAGGTATTTTTTTCCCCTTCTGAAATTTGGGTATCTGAATTGACTTTTGAAAATGAATGCCTGTTGTGCAGAGAAGGAAAAGAGTGCAATGGTTCCCTCAAGGTTCTTTTAACTCCCATCTTTTCCATCTATGCTTAGATGCATAATTTTGATGCTTCTGATCATGTATAGGAACCCAAATAGCAAATTCCAGGAAACTCTGTTTATCTAGTATGGACACTAAGAAAAGTACTTTGAATATCCAGAATAAACCTTCTGGATGGATTTTTTGCAGTCTGGCAGAGCATGTTATGCTTGAGCCCCAAATAGTGTCTGCCATTCATCTGTATGCATGAATTTCACAAGTTTTAGACTTTGTCTATTTGTTAGCTTTCGTTCTCTTTGAAAATCTCATGCACTGAACGGCAGCTGTGTTATGTCAGTTGCATCAGACCAAACAATAGCTTTTCTACAATGAAGAAATAGGGTGACTTTCCTGAAATTCTTAAGTGATTTCTTTTTAACTTTTGTAAGTGTTTTAGAATAAATATAAGCACTGTTCTGTTGTCTGGTTATAAATTATTTAATCCACATTATTTTACTTCCTCCCTTTTCATTTCTGTGTATGCTACCCTACTATAATCCATTAGTAAATTCAGATCAATAATGGTGGAGATCATATTTGAATTGTGGCATTCTCCCACCTGGCAAATTATGTGTGAAGAACTCATGTTTCCAGATTTTCAGTTTAGTATGTCTAATCCTTTCAAACACATCCATTTTGTAGAGCAGGCATTGTTATAAAAGCTGTGATATGGTGCTTTTAATGTGGTCTTTTTCATGAGAGGCATTCTGAAATTGGAATTATATAGGTGACCGTGATTAGGTGACCATGCAGAAATATGGAGAACCTGCTCGAATGTAGAAAAGAAAACAGCTCAGATCGTAAATGCAATCAGACTGTGTAGTCAATCTGTGGAGCAAATTTATCAATAAATGACAATTAACTGTGCTACAGTAACAAATCAAAACTGGTGTTGAATTGAGTAGTATGAAACTAATTAAGCTAAGTGGACTGTATAACTACAGGCTGAAATAAATATAGTTTTTAAGCAAAATTAATTATGGAAAAATATGCAATGGATATTCCTTGTAAATTAGGAAAAAAATCCTACCTGTAATGGCTGTCCTTTGCCCTTCTTATTTTCTGTCTGACATCTTAATATTCCACATAATGCACTGCTGAACAGTTTCTGCCCTTCTGGGTAAGGGAAAATGGTTTAGAGTTACTAGTAGTGAGTAGTTTAAAAGCTGCTTTTTAGCCAGTGGAAATGTTCAGTGAGCTGTGTTTGCTTTCTTGGTGGGGAAAAAGTCCTATCTTATGGACGGAAGAGCTCCTTCTGAAAAACAACAGTTGAAGTGAGAGCAAGGGTCTTTATGATCTTACCAGCTACAAAATTCTTCAGTGTTATCCCGGTAACCACGTTCTAACTTTCCATGTGGCCTTGGAGAGATTGTTCTACCTGCTTGTGTGTTCATTCCCTAAGACAACACGTGAGTAGGAATGCTGATCATGTGGGGGCACGTGGTTTTCGTGGTGTGACAGTGTTTGTGAGATCTCTTGAAGGTGTGCAGAAGGACTAATATCCTGCCTCTAGTAACTATTTACTTGGTTGTTAAAATTGTTTGATAGAAAGTGGCAAGATAGAATACAGCTAGTAACCTCATTTTGGTCTCTGCTAATTATCTTCATTTTGAACTGATAGCTACTTCCTATCTGTTTCTTTTGTTTCTGTCACCTACAAGCTTACAGTTTGCCTAAGTTTCTTAGAGTTGGTTTTCTCAAGACTGTATCCAAATTTAGAACTGCTGCTTTCCTGCTGTGGCTTGGTTATCCATTGCTTTCATATCCACTTCTCATCTTCGTGGAGTGAGTCTGCTTGATACTAGCCAGTAAAAGCTGACTATAGTAAAGGATGATCCCAAGTTGAAAGAAAGAATAACAGGAAGAACAACAGCCTCTAAGTCCTGAGGGAAAGGTAAATGGAAAACTCTGGGAACTTTAGTCCCTTCCCATAAAATAGAGAAGTGTTTAGAAAGGTTGCTCACATCAAGCATAAGAGAGAGCATAATAGTTTCTTCCTTTCCAGGAACGGTTTGTGGTTTTCAATGTGAAATAAGAGTTATGTGGAGCTTAAGTTTAATCTCCCTGGCCAATTTCCATAGATTTCTCTTTCTGCCCTGTCAGCTGAACTTTCTTTGCCTGAATATTTTTTCCATTCTTTGAGAGTTTTGTCCTACATCAGAGTCCAGACTGTTTGGATGAAATCATGTGATAACACTTTGGCCTTTTCTTTTTGTTAGTCTCCTTTTCGCTGGTCTATGTATATCAATCACTGAGATGAAAAAGTGATTTGTAACTCAGGTATTTTTTTTCAGTTATTCAATTATTGGCTCTCAAAAGTTAAGTCTACTAAGCTACGGGTTTTTTTTTTTTTGTTTTTTGTTTTTTTTTTTTCATTTAATCATCATTTTAGCGAGGAAAGCTACAGATTCAGAATGTGTGGAAATTGACCTATATCAGTAATGTGAGAATGAAAGTCACAGAGTGCAATGATGACAGTTAGTGTAAAACATGCTCAAAGACCTACTAGAGCAGAGATTTATCATCACAATCACCCCTATAAGATAAGGTATGTACTGTAAACGATGTTCAACCAGTGACAATCCCTGGGATACTTGTCAGTGTTACCAGTGAACTTAAAAGGAGTCACCAAAAGTCCTTTAAGGGTGGAAACTGTCAGCATCCATAGTATGCTGTATTGATTTTGCATTTACGATAATGACCAAAGGGTGGCTCCCTATACCTACTTATGAACATGAGTAAAAGATGAGATAAAGAACAGTTAAATATTTTTCTCTACTGTACTAACATTCTCAGAGTATGTTCTCTCTTTAATCAACCTAGAATCTGTTTTAGTGTAATAATGTATTTTTTTTCACCAAAGGAAGGATGGAATCTGGATTTTGTGAACTACTTGGGTAATGCATCCACATTTATAACTTGCTATCCCAAATATGCATTCTTTATGATTTTTTTTTCTGGAGCCAATTGCTATTATCAATAACATGTATGATGTCCTAAGTATGTCAGTATTTTCAATGTAAGTTTCAGTTCCTTTATTTATAATTAGAAGACTTTCATTACTGAACTACATTTGTTCATCTTTTTATAAAAAGAAAATGAATCGCTGCAATTACTGTCTCTTTCTAGTGGAAGGCAGATTAGACAACATCCAGTTTTAGAGTATTCAATTATCTTCTGTACGTTTTCAACTAATACAAGCTTTGATAGGAGAGAAAGTTGTTCAGCTCTTGAGCATTCTCTGCTTGATGGTACTTATACCATTATTTTAGATTTAACAATAAACGTAAACTCTCTGAATCCTCAATCCCTCACTCTCTCACTTCATATTCTGTTTTGAATTTGTGATTATTTGATTTATTGTTCATTTTCCACTGTCTGATATTTTCCAGGTGTTTCTAAGGTTATGCCTTTATGATAAAATATCCTTTATAAATAATTTTCCAAGATTAAATAGTTTACTCTGTCCCGCCAGTATTTGCCTATGAAGATTTTACCCAGCCATTGTGGCTGGAGGAATACTTTACCAGGGCAAACCTTAAATTCAGTGCTTCTACTGTACTGGAATACTCAATTTTGAATTAAGAGATACTGTCACTACACAAATCACTGCTGACATAAGATTTCTTATGAAACTGTCAACTTTCTGTGTATTGTAAGCTTCTGTCTGTTTCTGAATTATTTCTAGCCCCTCTTGTTCAAGATTTCTGTAAATATAAAAAGTTCCTCTGCATCTTACTCATAAATGCTATATAGCTTTTGGTATAATCTAATATCCTCCTTCCAGGAATCTTTCTAACTTTAAGTTCTCACATCTTTAAAATAACTTAACCTATAAACTTTCTGGTTAGCTTTTATTTGTAATGATTTGAAACACAATTATTTAGAATCCTGAATATGTTATTGTACTTAGTGAATGGTCATAATACAAGGGATTTATGCAGAGTAAAGATAGTAGAATCTTATCTGTTGTTCTACAAGAAGACTTCAGCCACCATGGCTTGAAATGTAAAGAAGTAATGTTACTTATTCTCCCTTGGAACTTGATCTAATTTCATTATTTACACTTTTTACTGAGATCAGAAAATCTATTAGCAGTCAGACATTTGGAAATGATATCAAAGGGATTCTGTTTTCATCTTGGGGAATTTTTACTGTAGTTTTCTTTTTTCTACTGGGCTTACTATATATGTCTGGAATAGCATTCTATCATCTTTTTAGTAATGCAAGGGAAATTTTGCCCTTTAACAGGTAGGGCCTTGATTTATTGTGAAGACCAGAACTTTGTCATCTGAAATGTGTGTTTTGCTGTTATAAATTAGCAACTCATAACTGCTCTGAAGCCCATAAAAACATGATTTGGGGTGGTGGGGATGAATATGAAGTCAGAAAACAGATGCTTATGAATAGCCATTCTCTAACCTCCAGGCATAAGCAATTTTCAAATGTGGAAGCAAATAGAAGTTGTTTTAAATGCTTTTAAAATAACTCCCTTTTCCCTCTTCCCCTCTCTCCCCCTGCAACCACAATAATTTCTGGTAAGTCATGTGTACATTTGGAAGAAAATGTTAGTGATGAGGTAAGAATACACTGTTCTTGGGAATATGATCTCTTATCAGAACTGCTGCTTTAGCAGGTCCAGAAACCTACTTTCAGCTTCAGTATATCTCTTTGAGTGACATTTATGATTTTTCATGACATGCTATCTCTTAACACATGTAATAATGGTAAATGTGACAGGAATTACAGAAGCCCTATTGCTGTATCTAGGAGCGAATGCACAATGGGCTTGAAGAAGGCTTTTTTAAAATTTTTTTTATATTTTTAACAGATCTGGATTTAAGCCTTTTGATTATAGTAAATCAGAACCAGCTTTGAATTTGGCACATGTTTCAGTGAATTAATTCTGAAAGACTCTGAAAAGATGCTAATTGTGCAGTTGGCTGAGAAAAGAAGAGCCATAGAATGAAGACTTGGAGAATCTTCTTACAGTGTGATCTCTGATATGCCCTATCTGCATTGTGTGTTGTGTGAACAGAGGTAAGACAAGTCTTTCAAATATACTGCTTCTAAATATTCAGGAGAATTGTTTCCCTGGGAATATCTGGTGAACATGTTTTATTTTAGATTAAAATACTATGAGGTTTTTTTTCTTTCTGCGATGTCTCTGATAAAATAAATGGAAAAAAATCTTGTGTATAGGTAGTTGGATCTGTCAAGAGTTACAACACATCAAAATACACGACAAGATGGTGAGTGGAACAGAGACCCATCATTTCTGTTTTACATAGTCAATATATGGATATACAAGTTTTATTTGCAGAAGAATTGGAGCTTTGGCAGATAACCATGCAATGCGAAACAGCTCCATGAACAGTTTGAGAGCAACCCACTTCAGGTCTATGCTTTTATATTTATCAAACAGCTCATGAAATGAGAGTATTTCCTTCTGTCCTACAACCTGCTATGTTTGTATCTGTCTGTGAGAAATTGGGCATGGGCTTTACCGGCACTGTTATTTCATTAAGGAAAGTGGGTCACTGTGTGGAACTTGCTATTCAAGATTAGTTATAGAGACTATTTTCACTGTTAAGGAATGACTGTTGTTAATCAGTGTGGCCATAATGACCCTAGAACATCCCTTTTCTACGTAGCATAATCATAAAATGGCTTGGGTTGGATGGGACCTCAAGGATCATCAAATTTCAACCCCTCTGCCAAAGACGGGATTTCCAGCTTCTAGATGAAGTGTTAGATCAGGTTGTCCAGGGCTCCATTGAATTTGGCCTTAACGACCTTCAGGAATGGGACATCCACAAGCTCTCTGGGCAATCTGTTCCAGCATCTCCCCACCCCCGCAGTTTACAAAGGCCCACCTTTCAAGTTTATCTGGTCCCTCTGGATGGTATTCCTTCTGCTGTATCAACCACACCACTCAGCTTGGTGTAATCAACAAACTTGTTTGTAATCAACAAAATTGTAATCTCATCATCTCTGTCACTCTGTAAGATAATAAAGAGTATCAGTCCCAAGATGGAACCCTGTGGGACACTCCTTGTAATGCAGTAGGAACTCTGAAATTGTATCTGTGTGGATTCTCACCTGATCCATCTACTTTACAATACCTTGAAGTCCACAATCATGTTTGCCAGCAGCTTTTCATGAGAAGTTCCACTCTTTGTATGTCCCCTGATATCCAAGATAAACTTAGAAGAACATAAATTCTTTCACCCCTTCTGGGTCCAGTACTCTGCTGATTCTCTTCCAATGGTAAATAGAAGTTACAAACAAAAAAACAAGGTAATACTTCCCTCCTGTGTGGGAGCAAGAACCCTAAGTCACTAACAGCAAGAAAAATCACTTGTTTTCTGTCAGGCCTTCACCACAGGGAGATTTTAATAGGGTGCAGTCTCTCTTGGCTTCAGGCCATTCAGCTAAAGCTGGATACTCACTCTGTCAAGATAACTCTGTTGATCTAGCAACTGCTTCCTTCAGGTGCCATAGGGTGGGACATATTAGGAACTCAGCAGCCCATTAATTCCTTCCTGAGTTCTGTGGGAGGTCTTAAAAGCAGTTGTAAGATTTTTTTTCAGAGAGAGCAAGTTTGGGGTTTGACTTTCAGACTCTATAGCAAGCATGAGTGGTGCACTGGAATAGTAAAATTTAACCGTCTTTTTGTCAAGCTAAGATGCATTTAGACTTTAGCATCAAATGAAGTCAGAGATATAGGACGTGTTTTGATGCCAGGAAAATATGAACTGGAGTACAGGGTATGCCATTATTTTTAGTGTCCCAGTGTAGGTTCAGCTCAATTGACACAGATTTACATAGAATTATGAAGAAGGCGTCTTTCAGCATGACCTACAATGCCTAAGCATCAGGACATTACATTTCAGACACTTCTGCAAGGGATGTGATGTTTGTAAGTTCAGCACTTAGTGCCTTCCTGGAATTTTTTAAGTGGGCATTCACAGTCAGTGACTCTGAGCTTGTTTTGTAAATTTTACTAAGGACCTCTCAGTACCATCCTATCATGAATGCTCTACAACACTGAAAACACTAGTGGCAAAACACTTAGTTGCTTAGTGGAAAGTATTCAGTTGGGTAGTCTCCCTCAACCCACGTTATCTGGACCAAAACAGTAAGGGACTTGCCTCTCTTCCAGTGTGGAAGAGCAATTCTTCCAGCCCAAGTCTCCATAGTTTTTGTTCAATGTATTGAACAAAATACGTACAGATAAGGGATTGCAAAATATATTGTATGTGTATATTGAGAGCTACTGAGCAGCAATCAGTAAACAAGAGTAGTATGATATAAGAAAACAACTCAGCATTGATGTAGTTAAACATTCAGCTAAGCAATAAAGGGAGTACATATTCAGCTGAAGAGACAGGCAGAGAAACGGAAGTAGCTGTTTCTCTGTAAATTATCTGTACAATACTGTGATAAAGAAGATTTTGTTTTCAGATGCACACCTTTTTTTGTGTAGGTTTTCTCTAAATCTTTTTCAGCTATTATAGTATTCAAATGATTTTTTTTAATTCTGTGTCCTCTGATTCTGGTCCTCTCTCAATTGGTTTCTTTACTTTGTTTAAACTAGAATTTCCTTTATCAGATTTTTAACAGATGTCTTTTCCTTCTTCACCCTTCTTTCTTCTTCCATCCCCTAATGTTTTCTGTGGCAGGGAAATTTTGTGCATGTTGTAGATGATTTTTGGAAGAGGGGGCAGCCTTGCACTTCCATTTCTCCATTATGTTCTGACAGCAGCAACTGGGAACAGTTAGGACCCAATTTCTTTACTGCACTTTTAACCATCACTCATTTAAAATATAACCTTCTGTTGGAAGAAAAAATGTATTTTTGTAATGTAATCAGATTTGTAGAGCTAATATCAATTTTGATGTCATGTGATATAACACTCTTGGATTCTCAGAATTGCCAACTGTAAAATTTATTTAGCTGATGGTATGCTACGAAGAGTTGCCGGTTGAAAAATAATACAAAGTGTTTTTTGGTTTTCTTGGAAAAGCCATTTCAGAGGCTTTACCATCACAGTTCTCCATGTTGTGCAGAGGTATGTATAAAGAAACAGTAAGAACTTCACAGCAGAAGTATCTGTGTGAATTATTGTTTTATGCCGTGGTATTCCTAAAGTAGCTAGATTGGAGAGGCAGAGATGTTTTGCATTCCTACAACCCTGTGAGTATGTCACAGTGGGCTTATTCTGGGTAGCTGACAACTTCATCTGTGCTGTGTCAAATAGATTGTGTAGAATTATTTATTTATTTGCTTGTTTGTTTGTTTGTTTATTTATTTATTTAACAAATAAATTCTACTCTTCAAGCCCAGAAAGGAATAATTCTTCATTAGTAGTAACAGCAAACTGAAGCTAAGAGTGAAATTCCTCTTTTCTGCACAAGTTTCAGCCAGCTCTGCTTGGCCATGGTGCCAAGGTACGATCTGTGGCAGAATCTTTGAGAGCTTCATCTGTCCAGCTGCTGATGGTCTGAAGGAAGGTTGTAGTTCATTGCTGGTTGATTTGGTCTGCATATGTGTATACAAATGAGATTTTACATGCATTGAAGCAGGCCGTTACTCCAAAAATCTTACGCTGTTGTCTCTGCAAAGCTTTTCCTTTAAATTTAGAAGAAGTTTATTCTAAAAGAGATCTGGAACTTCCTTTTCCAAAAAGCCACTCTGATTTGATCTGATTTTGATTGCATAATTACAAACTAAACAGTTTCAGCATGTAACAATACAGAGAAACTAAAATAATCTTATCATTTGAAAAATAAAAAGATAAATTATCAAATTTTATATGGCTCTACACCCTAGGTAAGATGGATGATTAATGATTTCTTAGTGATGTATGTATGTAGGTCACTCCAAAAGTAATACATCCTTTTAATTTCCATGCAACAGATACAAAGAGCACAACATTATTTGATAGAGCAAATTCTCAACTACATAACATTTGTTTTCAACATGGTGTCCATGTTTAGGTATGCATTTTTGCCAGCAATGAACAAGAGCCTGCATGCCAAACATATAAAAACCTGCATGGTTGTCTGGAACATGGTTTGTCTTTCATATCACTGTCACCAGTGCTGAAACACACCACACACCACCTCACTGTGCTCGCAGTGTAGCGCAGTAGAACAAAAAAAAAAGTAACAATTCCGATGGGAATATCTGCTGCCTTACCGTTAACATCTCCCTCTGAACCAACATAATAAAATGGAAGACATTGCTTTTGGAGCAGTCTGTATACTCTGTCCCACATTAGCTTTCAACTCTACATGTAGTTTTGACAGAAACTCTCATCTATCAGTTGTTGTAAAAAGTCATATTTTGTGTCATTTAAGAACATTTCCAAAAATAAAGCTTCGTACACTTAGGATAAACCCTATGCACCTACTCCACAGTTTAAATGTGCTGCTTTTGAAAAAGCATACTATGCATTCTATAAACATTTTTCATATAATACATTTCCTTCAGTAAATATTTAGTTATCTTATTCCAACACAGATGTAGACTTCCCCAGGGATAAGAAGGAGGTTGATGCTAGGTGTTGCTACTGCTTTTGCAGTAGTGGTGCATCATTGCTGAAAGAGTCTGTTATCTAGAATAAATATGTGGGTTTGCCTTAGTTAAAAGGTTTTGTTCTGGTTATTTATGAAATAAAAAGCTTATTTCAATTGTATATCTGTGCAACTCTTGATCATGATGGAAAAACCTTTTCTTAGGCTTTGCAATAGCTGTAATAGTTCCCTGTGCAAGGAGATGCAGTCTGCACTAACATACGCTGCTAATTGCAAGGTACAGATTTGCTAAACAGAGTACAACCTGGCCTATCACATCCTATGTTCTCAAGGCAATACATTGTTGGTATTTTGGTACTTATGTCATCTGTTTTACGGCTGTATCCTGTTTTTAACTGTATGTCTATTCTCTCTGTCCTACATGTCCAATTCACCTCTTAAAATGAGGAATTTGATTTTCCTCAGCTAAAGATACAGGAATTTCATGAAGTGTATTTATTTATGGACTGTAGAGTCTTCAAAGGAAATTCAGAGAAGGTCAGCTCTTTTTAGCTGTCAAAGATGGGAGATTGACTTTCATTTTCCCATACAGTCAAAATATTCCAGAGACCACAGATCACTGGCAAAAATATGATGTGTTTGCCTGCAACTTTATCATAATGTGATCATAGTCTTGTAATACCAGTGTTCCTTTAAGACACAAAATAATGCACACATATGTGGTCATATTCCGTTTAACTTTTATGCTTATTCTCATTTATGCTTTTGCCTCCAGCACTTGTTCTCTCTGATGCTGTGCAATTTGAAAGTGCTCCCAATGAGCCAGGAGCATATCCCTGAGCTCTGACATCCTTGTCAGTTTTTTTCTTACCGCCTTATTGGCTTGCTTTAATGTGAACTTAACTGCATGGTTTTGAACTGCTTGTGACAACAAATTAGACATGGAATAATAAACCTTGGCGTCTCTTTTCAATAGTAAAGGTGTCCCATAGCTGACTATAACCTCTGATTCTTTCTTGAAGAAAGGACTTTCATCTGTAACCTTTTAAGAAATTTGTCTCTGAGTAAGTATATGAAGAAACTTCAATCTGCAACTTCAATTGCTTGCGGACTTTTTTATGAACTAAAAGTTTGAGAATTTTTGATTTATTTTTTTCCTTATAATTTGGAAAAATCATTATAAGGAAGATAAAGGTGTCACATTTTGACAGATTATTTGCTGTTCTGGACAACCTCTCCAGAAGGCAATACGTTGTAGTGAAGCTGTGATTGTGTTTGTCAGAATTTACCTTTCCACTTACTAGCAAGCATTTCAGAGTAGGCAAATATTGTCTCAATGGTAGATGTAAGTTAACTGAAGATTATATTGAATATCAGTTTGGAAACTAAATTTGGGGATGTTTTTTTCCACAGTAATATTTATGGCACATTTCAAATTATTCCCAAATCCAGGTAATGGGAAAACATTTATAATAATTGTACAAGCAATACACTCTATAAAAACCTAAAATAAATAAATAAATAAATAAATAAATCTATTTTAACTTTGAGATGTTAAGTGTTTTAGAGAGATTCTGTTAAGTCATGGAGGTATGGAGTCCTCTTTGTTTTGCCATTTCAGTGTCGTAGGGACAGTGAAACACACAAAATAGGATTGCTGCATGGATGAAAATAGTGAGGAAGAGTAAAGATAAAATGAAAAGTATTCCAAACATTACCATGATAACAGATTCTCAAGTAGACACATAACTCTAGGATATACACAAGAAGATGCCACACTGAGAAGGAAGCAGTGGCACAAAATATCATTAGAGAGACTCTCTGTGCCACTGTAACTCAGCACTTCTGTAATTCAGCTATATCTGAATGTAATCACTACGGCTGGGATCAAATAGGAGAAAATAATAAGCTGATGACCAAAGTTAATGTGCAAACCACTGTCGGCATCAAGGCAGTAGTAGAACTTTGGGAAGCTCTTAAGTTTCAGAATGATTTTGGCTCTTGTAGACGAGATGATATACAAAAAGTAAATGCTAGCAGCAGTAAAAAAGCTAGATGAAGATGGAAAATTTTGCAAAATATGTATCCCAGAAGCAAGTAGAAGCAAGAATGAAGAGCATGAGGGTGAGAGTAAGCAGGTCTGTCGTATGTGCTGAGAAATGTACTCAGCTGATCATTCTGTAAGGAAATGTATGTATGAAACAACCAAATCAATTTCTACTAGATAATCCAACAATCAAGATCAGTCCAAGTACAAAGAAATGCATCAAGAGTAGAAGTTGTGTATATCATATAATATCTCTTAAGAAACTGGCCTGAAGTCTGCAGTCTCTTGTTATATTCAGAAAGGTGAGCTCATTAATACTTCAATATTACTTTAAATTAGAATTTTTGACAATGTTTTCTGTTCTCCACGTCATCAACAGTTAGTGGGACACCCATAGAATTCAAGTTTTCTAAATCTTTTTTAAAAATCAAGTTATTCTCCAGGCAACATTAGCATTTGTTTGTCCATTTGGTGAAGGAAACTTGAGAATTTATTTCTTCAGAGACTGGGAAACCAACATTTTATTTTCTTCTGCTGCTCTGGTAACTCTGTATGGTGCTCAGTTCCGCTTAAGTCAAAACTAATCTTTGAGTAATCATTATGCTACCATCAGTTCAGCAGGCTTTTAAAGTGTATCCTTTCCAGAAGAGTGCTCTTGGGCCAGATTGTTATGCCAGTAATTAAGAGCACTAACTACTATGAACTGAAAATTCTGAAGGTAAAAGAGTGAATAACTCACCGGTATCAAAGGTAAGAATGGAAGAGGTAAGTAAAAATGAAAACGCTCCATCAGGATGCCATAGAACTTATTTAATTCTGTAAAGATTATAGAGAATAATGCAATAAAGGGTTCAATTTCACAGAAGTGGGAGAAAAAGCCCTGTGAAACAGAATTCATAAGTGGGGATATCTTTTATTATTCAGTGTAGCTGGAAGAAGCAGACAAGCTTCCGGGCTTCGAGCGCCAGATTTGAATAGAAGAAGTAAAATCCATGTCAAAGAGCAGTTAGTTTTTTCCACAGATGAAAGTTTTGTATTTAAACTTGTTCAGGTGTGAATGTAGTAATCATAATCATATTTTAATTGCATGGTCCCAAATTAGCAAAAACTCATGACAGTGAATTTTGCCAAAGTATCCTGCAGTAAGTCCACTGCTATCCAAAGATATCCTTGCTTGTGCAATGTTTCTGTTTCTCATTTTGTTGTTGCTGCCATTTTTGTTGCAGTTTTTATAGTTTAGCTTTGCTGCCACTTTTTTT